TCTCCCAGTACCCTACAGAAGTATCAGTACCCTACAGAACGGACCTGTGCAATCTACCCCTGCTCTCCCTCTCGAGCCCTAAACTCACAGCAAAGGAAACGCCTCTTCGCCACTCACAAACCCTCCCTGGATTTGGCGAAGCGAACGGCACGTGCCCCCAAGGATAACCATGTCACGCTGCTCCAGCAGGCAGATCACCGATCTTTCCCGTGCATCGCCAAAGTAACAAAAAACACAAGAGGGTGCATCGACAGCAGCGTAGACAGAACGTGGCGCAATAAGTTACGGCGGAAACCGAGTACTACAGATGGATCCTACCAAAGGGGGAAGAGTCTGAAATGGGGTTTCATTGGAGTTGGTCGAAGTGGGCATTTATGTTATATGGCGAAGAGGATGTCTGCGTGCTTGGAGGAGAGGAGGCCTGCGTGCCGAAATAAGACAGCTGCTCGCAGGACATGCCTATTTCGCCTGATCACGTTGAAGCATCAGCATTGCTGTAGGAGCATAGGGATTGCTAGGACGTACGAGTGGACAACACTGCCAGCTGCTACCTGTTAAGACATTCTGTTTCCGGGAGCTGGTGTTGTCGTCTTTAGCTTGTCCTTGCGAAAGAAGGGCGGTTCTCACCGGGATCCCATGGCGACGGACCGCGTGTTGCATGACCATACGGGCTAACCTTTAAGCGCCTTGCTGGTTACGGTTTTCTGTGCCGGGTGAAGAGTATGCGTGCATGTACCGTGTGTTGATCACAAGATGTACGTAGCGGTGTGTTGTGGGGCTTTGAGCTTGTGAATGCTATCGCAAGACTTGTCATCATGTGATTAGGCGGGTGCTATACGTTGGCGAGAGGTCCCTGGTACCCTGCGGTAACCATGAGCGCATTGAATGTCTGTGTAATGCTGTAGCGAACTACATGTACCAGTCACACTTCCAGTAGTGGTCTCAGAATAATGCCGGTATGCCATGCATAATGCCGGTGAAATCGTCTGGCACAGATGGAATACCCAAGTGTCACACTCTGAAGGATGCCGGTTGCCTGCCATCATGCCGGTGAGATCGGCCGGATCGCACCGGCATTTTACCAGAACCACTTCCACATGCAGCAGCCAGAAGCCGGCTACAGCACTTTGATGTTATGTGAGGGACGGGGCGGTGTACTGATGTACAGGCGAAAAAAGCAGAAGGTGAGATGAGATAAAGAAGCAAAGCACGTGCTTCTTCGACTCACCGGAGAAACTCTCCAGCCATGTCCACCAATCCCATGGCAAAGGGCTCCCTCCGTTCGCAACCAACAGCAGCAGCAGCAGTGCCCTCGAGATGGGTGCTCTCGTCATCTCGCCGCACTTGGGGAGCACCATATTCCAGCGAGACACCTTTCAGACCCATTGCAAGGCCTTTGGTAGCAGCGTCCATAATACAAATCACTTGCGTACACCTACCGCGGAATGATTTTCGTGGGATGTGGGACAGGGAGGTACAGAGAGCAGACCGAAGGCGTGAGCATGCGGAATCTCTGCTGAGTTGCTGCAGGTTGCTGGAAGCTGGGAATCGTCACATAGAATCTCCGCAATCTCCGAAGGGGTATCGGAGAATGCATGTACCCCCCCCATGATTTTGGTGGTCGGGGGCCTAGCCGCTGTGGTGCTCTCTGATGCGGTTGGTGGTCACCGGACCCAAGGAAGCCCCTTCAAATCCGCCCCCCAAAGCTCAAGGATGGTTAAGGTGCGAGGATGCAGTGTGCGAGTTCGTTGATTTGAACACAGTGCCCTGCACCCTTTTTTCGCGGTTTGCTGGGTGTGACTTCATGCGGATGCGATTTGCTCCCTCAGGGCGGCCCCTGCTTGTCCCACCGCCCTACGCTTTGCTAGCCTTTCTCGTCCCAGAGAGCGAGTGTGTGTCTCCGCATGCTTGGTGCCCATCGGCAATGGGTGATACACTCCTGGTTAATGCATGTTTGGTTCAAAGCCTAGGCCTTAGCCAGCGTGGATACAGCAGTTTGCATCTTCGTCCATCTGGTGTTGAGTGGACGAGAGGAGAGAGACGAGGCCAACACCAGGTGTTCTCAACGGCGGCAGTGAACTTGCCGTGTCGTCGACCCATGGTTTGCCCAGCTGGTCCTAGTGGTGTTATCCATGCGTGCCAGTCAGATCAGCCTACTCTGTTGCTCGTACGGCGACGCCGACTCGTGTAATCTTGGGCAAGAAAGGTGCGCTGAAATTTCACAGATGCATGTGCAGCTTCTACCCACAGCACACGATGTTTGTCTCAAGATTTGACCGCTTCTGCTACGCCTTGCTCCGGTCGGTCACACACAATACTTCAGCGGCATTGTGCATTTCTGCACTATATGTACTTGCATTCACAACGAAGAAGTGCTGCTGTCGCTGTCATTGGAAGCAGTGACGCTCTCGGGCTAACCCTCTCCAGCAAGACGGGAACACCATTGGACACTTCCAATGGTGATCGCAAGGCTTTCAGAACAGCAGTGCCAAGCCCGGTATTGTCGATCGTTGACGGCTGCTGTAATAGATGAATTCCGTAGTCCACCATTCAAGCCTCTATTATCTACTGCTGCTTGCTCTTGCATCCCATTTCAACAGCCCGTTGCAGTGTCGACCCTCGACTTGTCAACTGGCAACTTCCCAAAAAAGGAGTATGCCAGCGCCGATTGAGCTGCGTGCCTAGCGCAGGTCACCTCGCGCGACAACCCCGACGCGCCCTGCCATTGGTGCAGCGAAACCCCGGCGACCTGCGATACCTCCGAAGACAAAATGCTCCACACCGCTCTGTTGGCACACCGTAAATCCTCGGAGGTGTCGCAGGTGGCCGGGGTTTTCTTGCACCAATGGCAGGGCGCGTCGAGGTAATCTTGCAAGGTGACCTGACCTGCATGAGGCACACAGCTCCATCGGCGTGGGCATACTCCTTTCTTGGGAAGTGGCCCGTTGACCAGTAGAGGGTCGACACTGCAATGGGCTGTTGACGTGGGATGCAAGATGATATATGTTGAACAATTTTCCATGACCACGCCACCAAGGTGAAGTCAACGTGAAGTACTGGCCCTCCTCTACTGCAAAAGTCATGGGCCCTCAACTGCTGTCGGTGGCGTTGTTTGTTACAAGCATCCGAATGCAAAGCTTGTTGTAGGCAATGCTGATGCTGTGGGGGAAGTTCCATGCCCCGGGTTGGGAAGCACGCTTGGAACTCTGGCTGGCGCGACAACGATACGTATCGGAAATAGCGGTGCTGGATTTTTGCGTAAACCTCGCCTTGGCGATGCAAGACCTTCCCATGCAAAATGTCTCTTGCGGAGAAGCTGTGCTCATAGTTACCATGTGCTAGACTTCAGGACCTTTTTGGTTCAAGGCTGCTGGATCAGCAACAGCAGCGGGAACTGTGGGTGTTTGGTATGCGGCCATTTCGTCTCTGAAAGGCTCCGATCGCTACGGGTTGGCGCGCACAAAAGACGCTAGTGCTGGACAAGTCGCGTGTAGGTAAAATCACTGCTGTTGTGATGTTCATGTGGTGGATGCTTGGCCAATGGAGGTGCCGACTGTTTTGGCAACGTATTTGTTACTCTCTGCCGGGACTAACTCTCTGTCGGTCTGCCTGTTTGTCTGTCTACCCTCTCTCGTTGAGCAGCAAAAGCACCACACCGGGCGCAATGCCACCTTCAAGGACCACGTGAACGGCATCAAGAAGGCGCCGAACCACAAGTACAAGAGCATGAAGGGGGTAAGCGAAACCACGCTATTTCACCGCACTCACTTAATAGAAGGCAACGTGCCGCAGGAGGGGAAGGTAGAAAGGGGCTCTTCTGTGTGACCACGGGTTGGAGTAAACGGCATTGCTAGAGCTGTGAGCGCTGATTTGAAGTGAAGACAAAAAAGACATAGCTTAGTGCCTGGCTTGGGTCCGTCGTTGACATCCCGGTTTTTAGGGGGGTCGCGTGGGAAACGATGGATATGGGCGATGATGCCTTACGTCGTCAAAATCCCTAAGGGGAGGTTGCAACAGAGTCTAGCCGGGATTATCTGAAAGGGGCGTCGTGTTGTATGCATAAGTGGGATATCTTCTCGTCAGCTTCTGGGTCGCACACTGTGCGATGGCGATGGTGGCGGTCGAATACAGCAGTCTCTGGTTGACCAAGGCGCTCGTGCGTCTGCAAGGTACTCTCAATCTCAACTCCATCTACCACCGCCTCTCTCGCGTCCTTCCTATCCTGCTGGCGATTTAATTTTGATCGGAAATGGGTTTTGCGGCGGACGGCGACGTGACGGTATCATGCTGCACGATCGCGATGGGCACCCTCCCTGCCTGCTCTGCTTCGGATGATGACGATTATGGTGTTGTCGGTGTCGGTGACTACTGCTTGCTGACTACCCGGTTTTGGCTGTGTTGAAGATGGACCCCAAGTTCCTCCGCAACCAGGTAAGGTTTGTGATCCCCCCATCTTGCGCATCTGTGCCGAGAAGTACGGGAAAGACAACGTATGCATATGCATCTGTGTTGAATTGGCATCGACCGCGCTTGTTGAAAAGACGTTTTTCTTAGGCGTATCACACAGCAACGCCGGACACAGAAACCCTGGTTGTGTTGCGGGTTTCCACCCGGGGATGCGGGACAAATAATTCCTCGGCAATACTCGTGCGTATGTGCATCCCCTCAGACCATGTAGGCAGGCTTGATGATGAGAGAAGTGGCAGGCCAGGGTTACGAACAAATTGGCACCACGCGACACCCTCAGACGAAAAATCCCAACTCCAACGACGTGGTGCCACCTCTCCGACCATACGATCGATATTTCCCCGTTGTCTTCTTGACTAAAGCTGATATATTTATGTCGAGCGCGCATGCCAGTAGCTAGACGTGTTGCGTGTGACAGAGATCAATGCCCGAACAGTGTTCACGCGAGTACGAGAGAACCCATTTTCTTTTGAATGTCGGTAAGAAATCTGATGTAGCGCTACTGCTGCGGAGGTATATGCTTCCTGCAATCTGGCCGCCAAATTCCCAAAAGTGGCTGTAGGGGGGGNGGGGGGGGGGGGGGGGGGGGGGGGGGGGGGGGGGGGGGTTCTGGCTGATTCCGGTCTATCATCAAGACGCATTTGCCCCTAGATTCTCCCTGTGGGAAGCCCATCAACCTAGCACGCCCGCGGACGCGCAGGCGTCACAACACGGTCCTTAGCCCTACAGTCATCGCCGGCGCCGCATGGGCCACAGCCTCCAGCTGCGGTTGCTGCTGGTGCCCTCCGTTGGTCACGATGCTGAATAACCGCGACTTGGTCGTCCCCCGTCAGGGCCAGTTTGCACTTGACCCGACCCTGCCGCTGGAAGCACGTTGTGACGTCTGCGCGTCCGCGGGCGGTGCTAGGTTGATGGGCTCACCATGGCGAGAACCTAGGGGCAAATGTGTATTGATCATCGACTGGGAATCAGCCAACCCCCCCCCCCCCCCCCCCCCCCCCCCCCCCCCCCCCCCCCCCCCCCCCCCCCCCCCCCCCCCCCCCCCCCCCCCCCCCCCCCCCCCCCCCCCCCNCCCCCCCCCCCCCCCCCCCAACAGCCACTTTTGTGAATGTGGCGACCCGACTGGAGGAAGCCTATGTACCAACGTGGCCACAAGGAACCCTTGGTCAGAGGGGGCACAGCGAAGTGGTGGTGGGGGGGGTCTGTTTTATCGGGCTAAGCGCTCCGGGATCCTGTCAGGAACAAGTCCTAATGTAGTAGCAGACCACACCCAAGCGGGCGATATCGGGTGGAGAATACATTTATTCTGCGTGGTCCTTCTTCGATAGCGTGGGCATCAATAGGTTTGCAGACATGACTCATGTAAATGCATGACTTTGTTGACGCCACGAAACGTTCAACGCAAGTCAGTTGGGAATGCCGGCGTCGCTCAGGTATTCCTGTATGTCTCGTTGGTGCTTTTCATTTTGTCTGCTCCTGTCGCTCGCTGCTGCTGCCATAGTACACTTTGCCATACCGTCACGGCGTTGCCTTCTCTCTTGAGGAGCTACGGCCCAGGGTTGCATCACCACACAGAAGCAACAATTTGCGAATTTGGCGTGGCTACATGCCGCAAGGGAACCGGGGTGTGCGTTGAGAGATTAGACACCTCGCTCGGTCTCATCCCTTCATGCCACGCAGTCTGGAAGGTTTTGTCATCAAGACAAGAAAATGAACATAGAGTTTTGAGAATAGCGACTTGTCGTAACTACTTCCTTTGACGCTTGTTGCCATGAATACTCATCAGTCCCTACCGTCCGGTGTTGCCCCCGTTTGTTCCTTTCCTGATTCCCTTGTTTGTACCACGCCGTCCGTGCAGAAATTCGCCAAGAAGTACAACGGTTCCAAGCGAGTTAAGGCGGAGGAATAGGTTATCTCTCTCGCTCTGTTGCTTTCCGACTGTCCGCCGAAGGGCGGCAGACGAACGCCTTTCAGCCTTAATCGTGCGGGGCGTTCTTAGGAGATTGGCATCACGGGGGGGGGGGGCACTGGGGCTTTGCCCGT